GTAGCAAGAATACACAAGAGCGCTGATAGCAATTATGAAATTGGCAGATATGTTGGAATGCAAGAATCAATGGTAGGGAATATGTTAAAACATGTAAGTCAAATAGCGAAAAAGGGCAAAACGGCTTCAACCTGATGAGATTTGAGAGGCACCAGGAAAAAATCCCAACACTTAAAGCATACTACCTAAGCAAAACTTTAGCGCAATTGATGATGATCTCTTTACTGTTTTACTTGACTACTTTTTGAATACTCTCAGCTATTATAATGCATTAATTTACTACGAATATTGTAGTATTTTAAACGATTTTATTTAGCTTATTCAATAGGATGAAACCAATTACCTGTTGTAATCACTTAGAATAGTACAATTTTACAAATTACCACAGTTTCACAGGACGAATTACTTGTATTAATCACTATCTAACCGTGTTTGACATTGTAATCGAATACGTACTTCTTGACTGAGAACTTAATCCTCTTATGTCATTTAAAGTGACTTTTTGCAATCGCAGAAGCACATTTACTATTGGACGGAAAGAGCTTTGGAAATGCTCTGAGAAGATATTTTCATTGTGCATCAGTTTCATATGAGGTTAATTGAATGATTGTGATATTATACACGATGAAGTGAAGAGAAGTGTCGACCTTTAACCCGCCTTTTTCGCACAATGCAGTACAAAGACCCGTATTCATTCCGACTGGATCCGTTTCGCATAATCCAACAGTATTCACTCCTCCAAAGCAATCCTCGTTCCTCGAGTCATGCTAGACCAAATGTTTGCCTCAAAATCATCATATTCACTTTAGTGTCGAAAATATCTTTTACTCAATAAATTATTTATGGAAGTGATAAATAATGTAGCATTTACCCAGATTTAGCCCAAGAAAGCATGGCAACAGGGTCGTTGTAGAAGGCGATGCCACCAATGCTTTCCAGCGGCAGCTCCAAATAGTAAAACCTGTTCACTTCTGCATTCGGATACACTCGGTAGTCGGGTGAGAAGGATAGGGTACCTTGGCTGCATTTTAAGGAGCCGGCAACCGCCTCCTAAACGAAATTCATAAACAAACTGATATATGGGCAGTAAC